TTACTTTTTTGTAATAAGGTACATACTGTACACTTAGGGCTTGTCTCATATGGGTACTGGATGTTGAGGATATTGTTTGGAATGAAGAAATTGGGGAAATGAAGCACCAGTAGCTTCTGATTCCATTTTCCAACTACTGCCTCCAATTCTGGCAGCTCAGGTGCTGGAGGCTTCACCAGATAAGAGTGGGTTTCTGGTCAGGGACTTGGTTAGGTTTGTTTCATGGTCTAGTTGATCTCGGATTTATCAATAAGGCATGTGTAACCAGAATCACTGTTACCGGAATGTGCAGGCCTTATAACGTACTATTATTGTGAACATTTTATGAATGTAGTTCTATTTTCTTGCCACAAGATAGAGCTTCTCTGGACTAAGAAATTTTGATTCCTTTAATCCCTTGCCTACAGGGCATTTCTACCCCCTTCCTGCCCAGGCCAGTTTTCAGCTTTCACTTTGAATGACAATTGCGCAGTCATGCAACACTGAACCAATATGACATTTTTATCATTTTTTTTAGACAGATAGAGCTTTTTTTGGTGGTATTTAATCACCTCTGGGTTTTTTATTTTTTCTTAAAGCAAAAACCACTGAAAATTTTGAAAAAAAACACATTTTTTCTTAGTTTTTGTTATAACATTTTGTAAGTAAGTGATTTTTCTCCTTCACTGATGTGCGCTAATGAGGCTGCAGTGATTGGCACTGATAGGCTGCACTGATGGGCACTGATAGGTAGCACTGATGGGCACTGATGAGGAGGCACTAGTAGGTGGCACTGATGGGCATTGACAGGCATCACTGATGGGCACTGAAAGGCAGCACTCATATATGGCACTGACTGGCACTGTTAGGCGGCACTGACTAGCACTGTTAGGCAGCATTGACGGGCATTGATAGTCGGCACTGATGGGCACTGATAGGTGGCACTGACTGGCACTGATAGGCGGCACTGACTGGCACTAATAGGTGGCACTGATTGGCAGCACTGATAGGTGGCACTGACTGGCACTGATAGGTGACACTGAAAGGTAGCTCAGATGGGCACTGATATGTGGCATTGATGTGCACTGGTAGGCACTGATATGTGGCATTGATGAGGCACTGATGAGCACTGGCAGGTGGCATTAATGAGCAATGACAGCTGGCAATGCTGGGGCTACACTGATCATCAGGGCACTGATCATCGGTGCCCTGATGATCAGCGTACATGTCCCCTCTGAGGAATGCCGATTACCGGCTCTCCTCTCCTCAGGAGCTGTCAGCGTGACAGATCGTGAGGAGAGAAATGCCGATAACCGGCATTTCCCTATTTACATGCGATCAGCTGTGATTGGACACAGCTGATCACATGACCAAGCTGACATCTTTGGCTCTTTCTGTTGATCGTGATCCGCTGTGTCCCAGGGACACAGCGTACCACTAATCGCTGCGCTGTGCGCTCCCGGAGCCGCGCATGTGCGGTTAGAATGGGAAGACGTCATATGACATCCTCCCAGAACGAGAGAACCGCCTTGTGCCTGTCATTACTTTATATGGTGGGCGGTAGGCGGTTAGAGTGATTCTAAAGGTACATCTATTTATTGAATTTATTAAGACTGCTAGCATTTTTCATAGCAATGGTAACAGAAGTAATGGTATTACCATTGGTATTATAGTAGCTATATGTTCAATTGCTTTAACTTTTGTTAAGTATATCTCTGCCGTATTAATTATGTATATTCTGTAATTCTTAAATTTGTTTAATTCAGTGTGCAAACTGAAATGTTGAAAATGGGATGTTTGCATAAATTCATAGTACATCACAATAAATGAGAGATAAGATTGGTTATTAGCAGGCCTTTTAAATGTAACATCCATGCATCATCTTGTTGTTAATAATTTTACATTAAACAAGTAAATTCACTGCTCAAGAAATGTATTGGCAGGTCATGCGTTCAACGAGGAGTGTCATTTACAAAAGTGAGGTCCACCTTGTCGGTGAATGGAATCACTGAGGACCACATAGTCCAAAAGTGGCAGTTTGGAAGTATTTAATGGCGCCTAAATTCATTTTCACAGGTAGCACCAAAAGTGTACATTTAAGCTTGGGATTAGTTATGTGTCATCAAAAGCTGGCCATACCAAGAAACAAAAACATTTTTTGTTTTCCAAGTAAAAATTTAATTAAATAAAAAGCTGGCCATACACCAATTCAGGCTGAATTAAAGAAATCTAACAAATTTCTCATTGATGTTACACAACATGGATGGACAAAGCTCATGCTGATGGTGCTGGCTGTCAGAATACTCAAACAGTACCCGCATCTGATTGGATACAGGTACTGTCTGGCCAACAATTTTTCCACCCAATTTCTTTTATTTAAACATAGAATTCATATAAAATGGGACTCATGAATACATCAGTCACAATGTATACTTCGGAAACAATTACTCTCTTTACATATGGGAACTGCGCGTCCTCTTCTTGGTCCTGAAGAAGCAGCAATGCCTGCGCATAGACCAATATCACATTATTTTAGGACTCACTTGACCTCACCTGCCTCACTATTGACAGTAATTGTTTTAATGTATACATTGTGAGTGATCAATTCATGAGTTACAATTGTTATTAATTCTATGTTTAATTAAAAAAAATATACATTTTGTATGTGTTTTGTTGTTACTTATACACATGAAATCTCCCGGTTGGTACAAAGTCCCACGTATATTTGGGATTTTACTTGATTTACATGAATCATGGTCTCTGAAGCTCTGGCTTCTTATATGCACTGGATATTCCAACAGTAAGGTCTTCCTGTGAATATTTCTGTCTATCTGGGAGTTTTTGTTGTTCCCATACACCTTTGTGATTAAATATAAATCCAGCAGGAAGAATGGAAGCCTTCACATTATTCTATGTTGGAATACTTTTTTATTAGCAGGGTACCCCTACTAGGGTCTGATATAAATCATCTCTGCTGCTGTATTGCTAAAGAAAAGTGGATTTTGGCAGATGTCATTCTGCTTCACCCAAACATGCCTCAGGCTGAATAATCCAGAGTTCCATCATTCACAAATTAAATTAGTAACTCATTAAACTTTAAGAGCATCCCCAAATTATTTCCTGCAATAAGCCACCGGAGTGGTAGTTTGGGTTTTCTAATAAGACCAGTCTTAGGTTGTGTCTATAATAGTGTGGCATATAACATAGGCATTAGGTATTATTTAGCTGATTCACTGAGATTTCCACACACCACTGACTCATTGATCTGTGCTGAATACTGCTTGCCATATGCTGTCTGCCCTGGTAATGCTGCCCTACTTTGATGGCTGCTGTGTTTTCTGCATCTCTGGTAATGGGGCGACCATACAGTGGAAGAAATAAGAGGCTTAATCCATTAATGGACTGAATAAGCCACTTTCTATTAATTAATCTACTTAATTACTCTTTTGAGAATAGGCATTTATAAATAATTTAGAAGATCTTCTTCTAACATAGAGGCAGTAACTTGTTTGACTGGAGATTGCAATGAAAATGGCAGTAAGACTGGCTATGATGTTCATACATAAGACATTAATTGACTTATTTAAAAAGACAGTTCAAGAGCAGTGGTATTCAAAAAATGGTATCCCTGAGCAGACATATCTGATTTCAGGTTGGAACAGTCAGAACCATGGAAGATGGATAAATGGGCAATTGGCAAACATTTAGATTTTCCAGAATATTTGCAATGCCAATTCATGTTGTTTTCCACAGACTGGATTAACCCAAAATACCTTTTCCCCTAAAATACATGGCCACATATGTGCCTAATTTGAGATTTATTTGATTTGTTTATCACAAGTGATGATCAGTAATGTTGTGGGTTACTAAAGTGTTCAGTTTTCCTTATTAGTACAAAATAACACATTTCTATGCTGGAATGTAGTTTGAATAATCTATTAAGGACTAGCTTCCTGAATGCCTGAAATATCTACTTTAAAGAGGCTGTCACTTTGTCCATTCAGGGCCTATTTGTGGATTGTGTGTAACCAGCCCTGCCCATTGTCCTTTGCTATATTATACATACAGTTGAGCAACGCTCTGTTAATAACAATTCATATCCTTCATATGCAATGATAAAAAAAATAAAAAATCAATTATCCAACTTTATGCAATCAATTTAAATATCCAATCAAAAACAAGTGCAACTTAGTATCACTAGAGACTGACACCCTCATAAATTATGTGCACACAATACAGTCCCAACCACGTGTTCCTATATCAATTGTTCTCGTGAGTATTTCATTACTTCCAGTGGAATGTTAAGTTCTATTCATCACTTCCAACACCACCATGTCCGTCAGTTGTGCCCTAACTTCCTGGGGTGGACCTCAATGTTTAAAACAGAGGCCTAGTACAGCTCTCACTTATAACCAGCTTTCATAGGATTCCTCCACAAAGCCACTTGTCCACCTTTTCTGCTTCTTCTCCTTTTAGAATGGGCTTGATATAGCTCACAAATAAAAGGCAGAAATCTTCATTATTTATTTATTTATTTCAGGTACTTATATAGCACCATCAATTTACATAGCACTTTACATATATATTGTACATTCACATCTGTCCCTAACCCTCAAGGGGCGTACAATCTAAGGTCCATAACTCACATTCATACATACACATACTAGGGCCAATTTAGACAGGATCCCATGTCTTTGGAGTGTGGGGGGAAACCGGAGTACCTGGAGGAAACCCACGCAGGCACAGGGAGAACATGCAAACTCCAGGCAGGTGGTGCCGTGGTTGGGATTCGAACCAATGACCCTAGTCCTGCCAGGCGGAAGTGCTAACCATTTAGCCACTTTGCTGCCCATGCTTCATAATGTATACCATATATTTTTATTACCATATTTGCCGGCGTATAAGACGACTGGGCGTATAAGACGACCCCCTACTTTTCCTGTTAAAATATAGGGTTTGAGCTATACTTGCCGTATAAGACTACCCCTCTTCCAACACACACCAAATAAAAATGAAAAAACATCAGATTTGATTTCAATATGGTATGCTATTTCAGTATGGTATTCCAATGATGGGGTGCTATTCCTCCCACTGACACCAATGATGGGGCATGATTCCTCCCACTGATACCAATGATGAGGCACTACTCCTCGCACTGACACTAATGATGGGGCACTATTTCATCCACTGACACCAATGATGGGGCACTATTCCTCCCACTGATACCAATGATGGGGCGCTATTCCTCCCACTGATACTAATGATGGGACACTATTCCTCCCACTGACACCAATGATGGTGCCCCATCATTAGTGTCAGTGTGTGAGGAATAGTGTCCCATCATTAGTGTCAGTGGGAGGAATAGTGCCCCATCATTGGTCAGTGGGAGGAATAGTGCCCCATCATTGGTGTCAGTGGGAAGAATCGTGCCCCATCATTGGTGTCAGTGGGAGGAATAGTGTCCCATCATTAGTGTCAGTGGGAGGAATAGTGCTCCATCATTAGTGTCAGTGGGAGGAATAGCACCCCATCATTGGTGACAGTGGGAGGAATAGCGCCCCATCATTGGTATCAGTGGCAGGAATTGCGCCCCATCATTGGTGTCAGTGGGAGGAATAGCGCCCCATCATTGGTATCAGTGGAAGGAATAGTGCCCCATCATTGGTGTCAGTGGGGAGGAGTAATAGTGCCCCATCGTTGGGTCAGTGGGGAGGAGGAATAGTGCCCCATGGTTGGTGTCAGTGGGGGAGGAATAGTACCCCATCATTGGTGTCAGTGGGGATAATAGTGCCCCATCATTGGTATCAGTGGGGAGAAAAGTGCCCCATCATTGGTATCAGTGGGGAGAAAAGTGCCCCATCATTGGTGTCAGTGGGGGAGGAATAGTCCCCATCATTGGTGTCAGTGGGGAGGAGGAATAGTGCCCCATGGTTGGTGTCAGTGGGGGAGGAATAGTGCCCCATCATTGGTGTCAGTGGGGGAGGAATAGTGCCCCATCATTGGTATCAGTGGGGAGAAAAATGCCCCATCATTGGTGTCAGTGGGGGAGGAATAGTGCCCCATCGTTCAGTGTGGAATAGTCCCCAGTGGGGGAGAAGGCCCCAGAATAGTGCCCCATCGTTGGTGTCAGTGGGAAGGAAGAATAGTGCCCCCATCGTTAGTGTCAGTGGGGGAGAGGAGCGGCTGCTCCTTCTTTCAGTTCGGCCGCTTGATTTTCGCGGGCCGTTTGGCTCCGCCTCCTCGCCGGTGATTGGTCGCCTGTGTGCCTTTCCAGTGCTGGCGCCCAATCACCGGTGAGGAGGCGGAGCCGAGCGGGCGGCGGGACCATCGAGCGGCCGAACTAAAAGAAGGAGCAGCCGCGCTTCCTGGACCAGATCGTCATGGGACCGGGACCGGAGCCAGGTAAGGTACAGCAGCCCGTCTGCCCACCCCTGTACTTGGTGTAAGTTGGAGGAGGAGGGGGGGCGTCGCTGCCCCTCGAAAAAAGTGCCGCCCTGACACCGGCTCGGCGTATAAGACGACCACCGACTTTTCAAAAGATTTTCAGGGGTTGAAAAGTCGTCTTATACGCCGGCAAATACGGTAGTTATGAGAAAAGAGATACACTGCTTTGTATATACAAAAAAAGTCAATAGATAGGGCTCACACAGGCAGCCTTTCAAATCTTCCCACAGTAACCCTACCTTGCATGATGACATCACAGCCACTCCCACCTGATGCGTTGCGTCCACAGGACTTTATCAAAGGTTGTAAGTGCTGCTGTTCTATCGTGCTTATGATGCAGAGCGGTCGACATAGAATCCTCCTTTACTATATTACTTAACCTCTCCTATACTCAAATTTCTATAACATTAAGGCTAGTCATAGTTGAAGATCTGAACTAGAAAAATTCTTTAAGAAATGCGCAAAGAACACAGGACAGTTCTGAACTTCTGATCAACATTTTTTTTTGCACTTCTCCAACAGATGAAACAAAAAACTCTTCCAGTGGCATATAACAGACCAGTCAGGAGCAAGTAGGAGTTTATTCTTACATGTTACATATACAGTACATTAATTAAAAAAGGGAATACATAATAAGAAATAATAGATTAGATGGTAAATTACAATCTAAGTGCTGTGCCTGTAATCCATTTATGACTGCGGCTGGAAGGCAGCTACTGAGTTTGCTGCTTTCCTTTCTGTATTATCAGTAAAAATGTAAAGTTTGAATATGAAGAAAAACTTAGAAAAATAGCACAAATATTCTGCCTATCTCAGCAACTTCATCTCTTTTGCATATGCTTGCATGTATAATTAGTGCTCCTTCTGTAAGTGTCTGCAATTAGCACAGTGGTGATTAATAAAAATACTCATCAAGCTTATTAGAACTGCACAATAAGGTATAATTAATTTGTCATTAATAAATCATGCCTTAATTAACTAATTTGTTGATTGCTAACATGTTTTTTTTAATTCGCTGTATCCCACCTGAGCGCGTCTAATATGTCTGTGCTGCATAGAATCTAGCATATACTGTACAAACACTTAGCCGGTAATAAAGGTACTATATAACATGTTTGAAGCTATTTTTCCCCTTTGATTTCTAGGGCCCACTTGTTTTAACACTTTATCAATGACACTTTTTTTGTCTGTAAACCAACAAAGCACACATGACCACTGAGGCTTAGTTGTTAAAACGGAGGAAGAGGGGACTGTAGGGACTTTTGTCATACAATCAGATGTCTGCTTCCACTTTCTAACATGAAACAGAATACTCTGCTTGTGACTTTATGGATTGTAATGCTTAAATTAATGTCTAACCCCCATATTTGGCCATTAGCTTAGATTGCTTTAAAACAGGGCTCTCCAAACTTTCGAAAAAAAAGGGCCAGTTTAATGCCCTTTAAACTTGATGGAGGGGGGGGTGGACTGTGGCCAGTGGGAGTACAAAACTCCTTGGCATCGGTGGGAGTAAACAATGCCATAGGCTTGGTGGTCAGTGGGAGCAAAAAAATGGCATCATTGCTGTCAGTGGAAGGATTAGCTCCTCATTATTGGTGTCAGTGGGAGATTAGTTCCCCATCTTTGGTGTCAGTGGGAGGAATAGTACTATATTGTTGGTGTCAGTGAGCAAAATAATGCTCAGTCCTTGGTGTCAGTGGATGGAATAGTGCCTTGATACAGTGGAAAGAATAGTGTCCCAAGGGGCGGATAAAGGCAAGCAAAGGGTTGCATCTGGCCCATGGGCCACAGTTTAGAGACCCCTGCTCTAAAGTCACAAACAGTATTCACAGAAAAAAACTACTTAACAGAGAAACAAAATTAGTAGGCAGCTGGCCACGTACTCGGTGTTATGTAAAACTACACCTCTAAGCAAAGCTTTTATTAGTTTTTTTTAGAGTGGGTAAGGGTTAGTTTTTTAATGCTGTCTAATTTCCTACTGTGGAGATTCACCACTCTACTTGTACTGAGGACCAGTGTCACTGCAACAGAAAGTGAGGGGGGGGGGATGGGTTTTCCCCAGAACAAGAGGTAATGGGGACACTCGTCACAAGGACAACTGTCTAGAATTCTGTTCTAGAAGTTAGAGAAAATTTTCTCTAACTTCCTGTTGCATCTATTAGACAGGAAGTAAAGGGAAATTTCCCCAGTGGTATACAGCATAAGAAACCTGTCGGGGGTTTAAACCCTTCCCATCTGTATCCAAAACAAAAAAACTTTGAGTTTACATGGACTTTAAGCTTTTGGATTGAAATAGTTTCTTAAGACCCAAATTTAAAGTCATGTTGAAGTCACTGAATCTGAGTTGATGTTAACACTTTAAGACTAGACTCAAAAAGAGTGCCAAAGCAGAAGCTCTGTGATCAGAGAAATGCCATCGTGACCACCTAAACTTCACTGAAGAGTAATGACCATAGAAGCTTGTCAGATAAATGCTGGCAAGGATCAGACATTAAATTGGGGAAGAGCTCTGCAGTTAGATCCCATGGAAAGGCACCAGTGAGTGGAGCAGGTCAGGACACACTGGCCAACCCAGTTTAGGCAGAGCAAGGTCAAGGCTGCCCCCAAGGAGTTCGACCCCCTTTTCCTATGTTTGTATTTTAGTTTGGGGATTTTGTTTTCTCTTACAGGAAGGAGAAGATTTTTGTGTCTTAAGTAAAGCTTTATTTATGTAATATTTAGTATATCTATTTTTCCTTGATGTAAGTAAAAACTATAATACTAAAAGTTTTTTTCTTTGCAACACACAGCACATTGGAGGAACTTGGAGTTGCTAATAAGAAAATTGTATTGAACATTCAAACCTAAAATATTGTACGACAAATACTTGAAGCTGAAGTCATAGTATGGCATGTGCATCAATCTCTGCTAACTTGTTGATTTCTAGTGCTGGTGGATCTACAAGAGAACATTTGTTAGAGAAGCAGTGCTGACATACACAAACTTAATGGGCACAATTTTTCAACTTTCCAGCTGCTCAATGATCACTCAAGTTTTTTGTGTTTATCAATGTAGAAACAATAATCCTGAGTAACACCAACAATACTGAGTTGTACCTTGTACTGTGGTGGCCCATACTAAAAGATCACCTTACTAAACATATGTACTGTAGCTCTGTTGAACACCACTAGCCTTGCATCATTTAATGGTGAGCAAATACTAGTATATACAAAAAAACACAAGATTCCCACCCATGTGAACATGTTCAGATGCTTTCATTACCTTGTAAGAGAATTCACCTCAGGATCTGCTGTTACATATAAAGTAATTGGCTTTATGGGGAACACCACCCTCATCTCCTCTTCAGTTGAGTCACTTCATCCAATCAGAGAATGCCTTGTATTCACTCACATAATACAAGGAGTTGTGTGAATGGTGGCAGTGCTAAGCAAGCAACACCCTGTGGTCAGTGTGCTGAGGTGAAGCTACTTGGCACAGGACCTAGAAAATATCACTGTGGAGTCTAGCAGGACCAATGTAATTATGCAATGAAGATCATATCTGGAGTTCAGCTTTAAAGAGTATCAAAATCCCCCAGAAATGGAATATATTGCCAGTTATCAGTCCTTAGATGTGGTGGTCGCATTTGTTTACTTTTTTAAACTTTTGTTCCTTTAATTTATTTTGGTAATTCTGCCAACACACTTGCAGTCCTAGGATGACAACACTACTTTTGTAGTAGGGCAACAAAAACAACAAACAGATACCAAACGGATATAACAAAACACTGCCAATGGTATGTATAAAATACCAAAATGGACCAAATAGAGAAGGTTAGACATGCTTTGGACTGTCTTAAAAGTTCCCCCCCCCCACTGCTACATCTGGCACTTTTTGGGGGGGAGTGGGTGCATGGTTTTGACAGGTACCAACTCCCACTTCAGGTCAGATGCACCACAGCGATCTGAGCCA